TACCAGAAATAGAGAGCAAAATAATACCTCTGTAATTTGAACAGTCTGATTTTTCTCCTTTCTTCTTGTACAGGGTGATGGTGACTGCATCACGGAGATCTGGTGGTAGTTCGCCTTTTTCCAGCAATGCACAATGAGCTCATGAAATTTAGCATGGAGTGCTTGGCCTCCATGCTTCCAGTCTTCAGGTGGGATTCCATCAATCCCAGCTGCCTTGACAGTTTTCACCTGCTGTATGGCCTTGAGAGTCTCTCCCATAGTAGAGGCTATATCCAATTCGTTTTTCACTGGTTGTTGTGTAATGTGCTGAACTGCTGAGCCTTGAACTACATGGGTGACACTGAAGAGAGTCTGGAAATGTTCAGACCATCAATTCAGGATGGAGGCTTTATCTGTGAGAAGTATTTGGCTGTCTGCACTTAGCAGCTGGCTTTGAACGTGGTGTGTGGGTCCATACACTGCTTTCAGAAACTCATAGAATCCCCCCTTAGTTTTGTGATTATTTACACCGTTAGATGTAAGAAAAGACGGTGAGGGTTTTTCCTACTAATTAAATGCTATATACAAATCAAGAAGCAAGGGTTGAGAAAGAAGTGCCAAAACTTTTAGTGGCTTTCTTCCCCACTGCAGTGGCAGAAGGACCTGTATCAGAATAGGACCCTGAGTTATTTCTCTTATGTTTGCAGCCTGACCTTAGGCTAGGACCCAGCACAAATCCAAAACAGCAGCTATCTACTTCCTGGAAACAAGTCCTTGTTGGCTTTAAAATTTGATTTTCATACTATAAATTGCTTTCTGCTACTTCATCTCAGTGTACTTTCCAGGACAGTATTGCTTCTTGAAAATAAAATGAAACTCCTTCTAAACAGACTGTTCCAGGAATATTATTTTTAGAAGAACATCAGAAAATTGTGGATGATCTGAAAGACCAGATCATGATCCTCAACTTGAGGAGAAATTTCTTTCCTGTGGGGGTGCCAGAGCCCTGGCACAGGCTGCCCTGTGAAGTTGTGGAGTCTCCTTCTCTGGAAACTTTCAAAATTCACCTGGATGCATTCCTGTGTGACCTGCCTTAGGGGTTCCTGCTCTGGCAGAGGGGTTGGACTAGATAATCTCTAGAGGTCCCTTCCAACCCCTGACATTCTATGATTCTGTGTCACATGCTGGGTCACATAGTTCCTCACTCCTTAAGCTGCTATCTTGGCAGAGGCTTACCTCTGCAGCTGAAAAGCAGCTGTGTCAGTCCTGACGTCTCAGCTACATACGTAGTGGTTCTGACATTGCAGTTGTAGGAGTATTTTATAATCCAAATCCCTTCAGCATCAAACTACTCTTTTAGGGAATCTGCCTGAACTGTGAATTTTTACTTCAAAATAGCTAGCTGTGTACTTCTTGGGCAGTACCCAGACCAATCGTGGCACTTGTGTTTCCACTGAGCCAACTTAGCATTGATCTTATGAAAGTCCAGCTGCACTTTGTTGCTGCAGTGGCAGTTTTGGGATGATGCAGCCCCAACCGCGCTCTCCCATAGTTAACAGGTTTTTCAGATGAAATCGTGGTTATCTTCATCCAGCGTTCACGAATGTATTTGCATTATTTGTTCTGGTTGCACATCTGTAAAATTTCATTTTCATCATATCTGATTCTGAAGTATTTGTGTATTTTTATTCCTCATTTTATATTTCTTTCTCCCTTTTCTCTCCACACTGCCACCTTTTCCTTCACAGTGCAAAGTGTAGATCAGCCTGTAAATAGTGTGGCCAGCTGGATATTAGCAGCGCTGGCATCTGTGTTCCTTCTTTCACAGATTAGCCGGCCTGCTTTGCAGACCTGATGGTCCCAGCCTGCATATTTAATGATTAGTTGGGTTTCTGAAGTGCAATTTATTAGTGCTTACAAGCGCTGATGAGATCTCGGGCACACTGGAACGGCTGACCTGCCTGTGAAAAGACTTCGTGGGCTTTCTCTAGGCCAAGTTCATACAACATCTTGGCAACACAATCTACTCCAGCCTTTCAAACTTCAAGTACTGGCTGAGGCTAACCTTCCTCCACCCTCATTTACATTAACAGTCCTGGTAAAATCCATCGATACAGTGAATTTAAGTAATCAGATGTCAGAGAAACAGTCTCATTCTTAGCATTGACCTCCTTCATGACTTCAAGGAGCATTTTTCTCTTTCTGTGCCTTTTAAAAATTTTATGTTCTTTTGGCCATAAAAGGCATTTCTGCCGATGCAACGATCTGTGTAAGAAGGGCTATATGCTGTCATTTAAATAAAGCAAGCCATTAAGCATCAGAAGAGTTTTAGATAAATAAGAAAGAAAAGTAAAATTACTTCCAGGTAGTTCAAAACCAAGGGAGAACACAATCAAAATTCCAGCATGTGTGCTATCTAAAAGATAGTTCTCTTTAGTTTGTTTCTGGAAACCCAAATGCACAAATTAATTGGATACTTTTTTATAAAAGACTTGATGATAATCCTAATATATTACTTGACAAGAATATGCATTTCATAATAACAATTTGCACATCAATGAAAACTGAGATAGACACTACTGAATCATGTACTCTGACTATAATGGAATGAATCCTGAAAGTAATTTCAATGCAATTACTTTTTAAAAAATGTTTTACGAAGACAGAATGGAAAAAAAAAAAAAAGAAAAAAACTCACAACAACTTGTCAAAAGAAGGCCACACTGTTTCCCCTGTTCTCAGCAGTGATCAGACAGCGGATTTTACTCTCATGGGGATGGGGAGAGAAGTTCTGGCCCTCTTTCATCCTCCTTAATTGCTCAGTACAGGACTGCAGTCATGCACACACAAGGAATTGTTAGGGACAGAAGCCCAGAAATAGTGCTACCAAAGGTGAGCCAATTCATCTTGTGTGCTTGTCTCTTGGATATTTTCTTGATGTACCAATTACTGTGAGGTATCTTACTCAAGCACATGCTTTGTGTGACCATTATTACACCACGTCACCAAACAATGACTATATTGAATAATAGTTAATTAGCACATTGCAAGTATGAAGTCCCATAGCCAGCTGTTCCCGTTATGGCTGGTAAGGTACAGAATGTCACTGCTTAGCAAAGGCACCTGTAGCTGCGCAGCAAGATGAAACCGAGTGAAATAAATGGGGTGGGGAGGAAATCCATGCTAAAATAAGTCATGCATTTCACATGACTTTTTTTTTTTTTTTGGTTGGACTTTTGGAACAAACTACATTGCTATCATTCTTTGATTTGGGCATTCAAAGTAAAACTCCAGTATCAAAGAAAAAACAGAACAAAATCACTGCTCTTCAGTTATTCACCAGAATGTTACTAGTGCTTTCAGTGGTAAATAAAGATGGGTCTCTGTTAATTTCCTTTGCAGTTAAACATTTTTTTTTCTCTAGAAATATACTGTAAATGAACAAATGTAATTTTCATAGCCATGTCTAATCTTGTCTTGGAATTATATTGTTCTGCCAGTTGTTGAATATTGATTTTCTTTTCTCTAAAGATATTTCCTACACATAGATAAGCAAACACGTAAAAGACATAAAGTAATGTAATTCTGTTAGTTGTACGTATGCAGGTATACTTTCATACCTTTAATTATTTATACCACATTAAGCTTTTATTTTGTGTGTGTGTGTGAAACCTCAGATTTTCTTTGATGCTATCAGGTACTTTTGTTTTAGAGCTGACACAGTCTACCCAGGTACAGGACCCCTCTCAGTCCACTGATCCCTACGATGAGTGGGGCACACTGTGCATCCCTTTGTTTGTGCTGTTACACTCGGACTAGTATATTTTCAAAGGAGCATAAGGAAGGTAGTGTACTTCCACAAATGTAATCACTTTTATAAAATACATTAATATTTATTTTCTGGCCATTTAACAGTTTCTTCTTAGATTAAAAAACACTTTATATGCTTGCTTTTCGTGTTTATTAAGACTTTCTTTTTCTCACTAATTTCTAGATGTTTAGCATTGTCATGAGAAAGAGTAAGTGAATGTGACACTATCTCACATCAATGAAGAAAATACTGTGGGATTCGTTCAGTTCTTACTTCCTGCACTGATGAAAATCAGCACAGCCACTTGCTGTCAGTAGAAAGCTCTTGGAGTGTGGAGCATTATACTTTTAGCAGAGTGTAACAAAAGGGAGAGGAGTCAGAAAAAAAAAGGTAACAGCCATGCTTTAAGCATCTATAAATGTAATAATTATATCCAAATATTAAGTTTTTAGTGCATTTCTTGAAATTTAGGTGGGAATACTTTCCCCCCCTCCATTCACTTCATACTCTTCTCACAAAATATGTGAGTATTTACAGCAGCACAGGTAAATCCGATTTTTATTTTTCCTATTTTCTTTTTTCTGGAGGTGTTTGCTTTCTCTGAACGTCAGAAGTTCTCTCCAGCCACCAGGAAGGTATAAGCAAGACAAGTGCGATGACCGAAACCGTGGAGTTGCCAGCGGAGGGGAATTCCCTGATAAGAGCTGTCTATCAAAGCCGCCTTCGCCTCACCAGATTGTTGCTAGAGGGTGGTGCCTACATCAACGAGAGCAATGACAGAGGTGAAACCCCTTTGATGATTGCTTGTAGGACAAAACATGTGGATTCCCAGAGTGTCAGCAAGGCAAAGATGGTGAAATACCTACTGGAAAACAAGGCTGATCCAAACATTCAGGACAAATCTGGAAAGACAGCCTTGATGCATGCTTGTTTGGAAAAAGCAGGACCTGAAGTGGTGTCTCTGCTACTGAAAAGTGGAGCTGACCCAAGCCTGCAAGATCATTCCAGTTGCTCAGCACTCGTGTATGCAATAAACTCAGAAGACAAAGACACTCTGAAGGTTCTTCTTAATGCCTGCAAGGCACAAGGAAAAGAAGTTATCATCATCACTATGGACAAGTCGCCATCAGGAAGGCAGAAAATGAAGCAGTATTTAAATGTTCCTCCTGCAGACCTCGAGGAATGCCAGACCCCAACTGCTTGCACTTCCCCATCAGAAATAGAACTGAACACGTCGCCATCCACACTTTCAAGTTCAAATGAAACTGAAAAAGCACTGTTCAGCTTTAAGGAGCTGGATCATCCACGAAGTGTAGTCAACTCACCTCAAACAGTTTCACTGACAAGAAAATCCAGCTCAACGAAAGTAGGGTCCAAGCTGGCACAAGTGCACCGACTGTGGTCTGAGCCTTGGATAAAGAGCTCTCCCTCACTGTTTTACCAGAATAAAGTTGCCTCTTTACAAGAAGAACTTCAGGATATTACTCCAGAAGAAGAGCGCTCTTTTAAAATTGATGGCCTTGCCTTATCAAAGAGATTCATCACCAGGCACCAAAGTATTGACATAAAAGACACTGCTCATTTATTGAAAACCTTTGATCAAGCTGGATCAAGGAAATTACCATATGATGAGCAAAATTCTCAGGCTCCTTATGTTGAAGAGAAACATAGCCTCAGTGGGATTCCTGTGGGTAAAGATGCCAGTTTGGGACAGATCAGCTTTATGTCAAACCTTAGCAGTATTATCCAAAAAAGAAATTTAGGAGCAAACCACTACAGCTCTGATTCTCAGTTAACTACTAGCTTAAGTCCTGCTGCTGCAGAAGATAGTAAGTCAGTGTTAGGAAAGAAGAAGATTCTTTCTCCATCTCACTCTTTGTTATCAAGTTCTAGAGAAGTATTGGAGAACGTGCCTCCAGTTGCTCTGAGCAGGAGAAATCAAGCTTTTCTGGAAAGACAGGGCTCAGGAGCCTTGTTGTTGAATCATATTGCTCAGACAAGGCCAGGTTTTCTTCCACCACTGAATGTGAGTCCTCAGCCCCCAATTCCTGATGTTACTTTCATAAACAGGGTTTCTGGGGTGATGTCTTGTGGACAAAAACACTTGGTACCAGCAGTACCTGCTTTCCCTACGGAGACCAAAAATATGAAAATGCTACTAAGGAGGCAGTCATTACAGACTGAGCAGATTAAGCAATTAGTGAATTTTTAGCAGGGGATAAGAGGGCTGCAAAAAATATTTACAACATGTACATATTCACTGCATTATCTGATTGTAGTGATACACGCCACGAAAGATAACAGGTCTGCAATGTAAAACTCTTGGAGTTAAGTAGCTTAGAGACTACCTGAAAAGATGTACTTTACTAATGATGCTGCTCTCTGCAAACTGAGGAATATTTATTATGCTGTTTTCATGTTTTCAGCTTCAGTACTGAAGTCTTCACCACAAGAGGCTGAACCCACAGTGGGTCTTAAGCACTGCAGTTCTCATTTTAGGCTGGAAGTACTGTTCCTGCCTCCAAACACGTAGCATTTCTGTGCCCACAGAGGTGGTACACGTGCCATTTGGGAACTGAAAACATCTGACTGTGATGCTAGACACCAGACTGACTCCATCCAAGTTGTGCAATATCCAGAAATCCCAGGCACAACCAGTGTGTGCAAGGGCTGGGCAGCAGCAGGCGTATGTAGGCAGTGTCTTCTCGCTTGAGTGGCCTTACAGCGTCTAAACAGAGAGTCCACACAATCAGTGAAATCCGTGTTGCAGAGCTGTGTTGCATGCATAACTGTGCTCACGACATTCCAGCTAAAGACTGTGAGTCTGTGTCAGAGGGCTTGCTGCCTGCTGGAAGTTGGCACGATCCACAGAGGACTGGAGAGCTCATGTTCAGCACATGACGCCTGGGAGCCAACAGAAAGACAGCACAGCAAACAAGTCCTGTATAATCGTATAAAATGACCGAAGCCTGCTCGCGCTGTCAGTTAGGCACATAAATCAACTTGGGCTTCTCAAGCTAGTTGGTTTCTGGTATCTGCTTATGTAAAAAGAGGAGGGCTAGGGGGAGTCGGAGGCTGTGTCTAAACTAGGGCCCATTGCTGTAGTTCCAGACTCCCCAAGATCTCCACATCATGCAGGAGCTCTTTCTCCCCAGTCACAGGCCTGGGTTTCTTTTCAGGACAGGGTACAGATGGTAGGGCAGATCCAGATGTTGTGTTAATCAGCAAGGACACCTAACAAATCTGAGAGCAAGGAAGCGCTCTGTTCTGCTCAGACAGACCAAAAAAAATACAATCCAACAGCCAAGATAGTCACTTGACAGATGGAAGTCCTCATTTTACTCAATTTGAAGCAGAGGACTGGATTTCTTACAGATGAGGAACACTCCTTTGCATCCAAGCTATTGTATATTTTAAGTATCTCTATGTAAAAACTGTTTTCCCTTCTCACTCAGTGTTCTGCACTTCAAAACATCTACATTGTCTTTGTGCATATTCCATAGATGTTTGATTTCTGGTATTGCATTTAGCATTTCATAACTCATCGTCTCAAGACTGGGAAATACTGAATGTGTTGTGTTCTGCCATGACTTAGAAAAGTTGATTGTTCTGAAGTTGTGCCCATACAGTGTGAATTTCTGTATACTGAAGTTAATTTTTTTCTCCTGAAAATAGACAAGGGGTAGTATCTATTTCTTGTAGCCTCAGTCAAAATTCACCTAGTCTGACACTGCCTAACACATAAATACAATGTTACTTAGCTTTGCCCTTAGTATAAGACTATTTCAAGAGGATGATAAACTTAAATACCTTTTTGTATGCTAATATAAAAATGGCCAAAAGTTCATAATAAGTGTATTTTGAAGAGGGGAACATTTGACATCCAGAAAGTAAAGGAGGACAGTTTACATCTCTGCACAACGGAGCAGTATGTCAAGTGTTGATATAAAACTACAAATTTCAATCTTGACATCAATTTTGTGACAAAATCTCTCCAAGTCTGCAGTGATGACAACTAGAAGGCAGATATCTTGCTGTTGATTCTCTGGCCAAGCTCTGACAGTTAGCTAGAGTAAGAAAAGGGGAAAATCTATTTTGCAATTGTCAAAATTAATTCTTCCCCAACAAAATATGGGTCCTTTGCCCTCCTCCTGTCATAGCTGTGCTATCCTGGGATGCACAGCTTCCTGGTGACAGCAGGGATGGCCTGCAGTGAGCTGCGCTATGCTATTGCGCTCAGCTCACTCGGATACGTTTGTTTAGTTTCTCACCTCTTGAGCGAACAGCACCAGTCACAAAAATGCTATTCTGGGTTTTGGTTTGGGGTTTTGTTTTTTTTTAATTAGAGATGGACTAGTCATCCACTGAAAGGCTCTTAGGTCATTTATGGACTGGCTGGCAAACTCTAGTCTCTACAAAAACACAAGAAGTGTTCACTAAGTTAAACAACCCAAACCACCAAAGTTTGCACATCAAGCATCCAAAAGTGAGAATGCTCTGAAAGTGAAGTTAAGTAAGTTTTAAGAGCTCTTAAATACCAGTGGGGAACACAGTGAAGGTGATTTGAGTTTTTCATTCCATTCATATTCTGCCTCGTATTTCAGGAGTTGTTGCTGTATCAGCATCTGCGTATACCAGGTAGAAACAAGGATTACATGGAAATCGTATTACAGCAGAGAAATAAAGTGGAACAACATATGTCAATATTATTAAATTGGTACAAAATGATCCCCACAAACAGATGCAATATGCTCTTCAAATGTTTTGTAACATTTGTAATGATATTATAAATGGAAATGGCAATTTGTAGTCTCTTCATCTCATAATGAAGTTAAATATTTGAAGCTAAAAAGTTATCTTTAAAAAAAATACAAGTTCTTTAGAAAAAAATGAAGTAACAGATCAGATGTTCTGGTATCTTTGCTGAAGTTCTGAGGACAGATGTCTGCTGTATAGATTTTAGAATTAGTCATATAGATAGGATTACTACTTCCTCAACAGGAAAAGTAATTTTTTTACCAAATGCTCAGACAATGGAAGAAAATGGCAAAGGTCTTGAGGAATGAAGTTCTTCTGTAGTATTACTGCTATTTTGTTCTTAATTTTGGTGCAAAGTAATGTGAAAGGTTAATGTTAATGGCATTGTGGCATCAGTGTTACAAGTGACCTTCAAAGGAAAACTAATTCAGTTTTGTTCTCTTGATGTTGTTATGATGCATAAATAAAAGTTATTTTTTCCCTCACTCAGGGTATACAGAAATAGACATATCCTTTTATTCACCACTTAGTGACGCTGAGTCACTACCAAAGGTACTCACTTGTGTTTCTCAGGCTGTCTCTATAGAAGAAAATTGGAACAGTTAATTAGATTTAATCCAACATAGCTAAATTTGTACAAAGTATTTTTTGAAAGAGGCTCACTCCATCTCTTGGTACCCTACTGCAGTTCCACTTCAGTTGAGATACACTTCTGCCATCTTTGAAGTCTCAATCCTCGTCATTTTCCAATGTCTTCTAATCAAAGAATGGGAAGCAAGACCTGAATTTCTAATGTTAAGTTCCTCCCGCCCATGAAACATTAAAGTTTACAAACAACAAAATAGCTTTCCAGTGTTCTTTATGCATCTTGATAAAGAAAACACCAAAAGCTGAAAAGTTTTTCCGTGCTGTTTAAGAGCTGTGGCTTCTCATCTGGAGAGAACCATCCGGACTAGTTCTCACACCTTGAGGTGAAAAATTAGTGAAGCTCATCCACTCTAACTTACAGAAAGATTAATAGCATAAAATCCTTAAACTTCCATGCACGTTGTTTTTTGGTTTTGCTTTAAAGAGAGAGGCATTTGGAGTTGCTTTGTTTTGGTTTTTGTCTTCTACAGTTATGCAGCACTTCCAGAAGAAGAGTGTCACAATTTGATGCAGGTACACAAGAAAAATACCAAACTGAAACAGTCATTAAATTTCTTTTTTTTTCCTCTTCATCAGTTCTTATTAAGATCTTCATCTTTCTGCATCTGTCATGGACTGCAACTAATTAATTTTCCAGCTAAAATTAGGTATTTAGATAAATGGGTTTTTACCTTAGTAAATCACTATTCCATTAGTTGGCTATTTTGAGTGGAGTCCCTCAAGGATTGGTGCTGGGACCGGTGCTCTTCAGTGTCTTTGTCAGCAACATGGACAGTGGGATCGAGTGAACCCTCAGCAAGTTTGCTGACAACACCAAGCTGTGTGGTGCAGTTGCCACTGTGGAGGGAAGAGATGTCATTGAGAGGGACGTTGACAGCCTTGAGAGATGGGCCCATGTGAACCTCAGGGAGTTCAGAAAGGACATGGGCAAGGTCCTGCACCCAGGTCGGGGCAGTCCCAAGCACAGACACAGGCTGGGGACGAGTGGGTGGAGAGCAGCCCTGCAGAGAGGGACTTGGGGTGCTGGTTGCTGAAGCGCTCAGCATGAGGCAGCCATGTGCACCGGCAGCACAAGAAGCCAACTGTGTCCTGGGCTGTGTGAAGTGAAACATGGCCAGCAGGTCAAGGGAGGTGATTCTGCCCCTCTGCTCTCCTCTGGTGAGACCCCACCTTCAGTGCTATGTGGAGCTGTGGAGCCCCAAGCACAAGAAGAACATGGACCTGTTGGAGTGAGTCCAGAGGAGGGCCATGGAGATGATCAGGGGGTTGGAGCACGCCTCCTGAGAGCACTGAGGCTGGAGCCTGGCTCCAGGGAGACCTTACAGCAGCATTCAGTGCTTAAAGGAGGCTACAGGAAAGCTGGGGAAGGGATTCTTCATCAGGACCCGCAGTGATAGGACAACTGGTTAGCAGTTTCAAACTGAAAAAGAGCAGAGTGGTGAGGCACTGGCACAGGTTGCCCAAAGAAGCTGTGGAAGTTCCCTCCCTCGCAGTGTTCAAGGCCAGGCTGGATGGGACTTTGAGGAACCTGGTCTGGTGGGAGGTGTCCCTGCCCATGGCACAGGGGCTGGACCTAGATGAGCTTTTAAGGTTCCTTCCAAACCACTATAGGATTCTATGAATTTGTTCATTTATCAAGAGCATGGCTTGTTACAGAAAGGCTGGTACTCACAAATAACCATCCTAGTTATATTCACACTGCATTCATAAAAGGGTAAAACTTTTTTTTTCTTAATTAAGGTTGAAATCCACCTTAAAGAACTACTGGCACTGCAGTACCTTCAAGGAGATCAAGTTTGACAAGGA